CTGTGTGCTTTTTTTTTTTTTTTTTTAAATGCAGGATCTTGATTGGTCACCCAGGCTGGAGTGCAGTGGTGCAGTCTTGGCTCACTGCAACCTCTGCTTCCTGGGCTCAAACGATCCTCCCACCTCAGCCTCCCGAGTAAAGCTGGTGGGATCACAGGTGCACACCATGGCGCCCTGCTAATTTTTTGTATTTTCTGCCCAGCTCCTGTGTGCAATCTTGGTTCTCATAATCAGTTTTCTATGGAGCTGCCAGAATAATTTAAAAAATAAAATAAAATTATGCTAATCCCTTCACTAAAGCCACTGTTTAGGACTTTAAACAATCTCCACATTGTTTATGAAGACCTTTAGGGGTCTCTTACCGGACAGTGTTGTAATATTCATCACTATCTGAAATTAATGTTTATTGTCTGTGTTTTCCCTTTAGATTCAAAATTCTGATTACAGGACTTCAATAGAACAGTGAGTTTTGTTCCCTTCTGTAATCTCAGAAATCAATAGGTGGTCAATAAATGTTGATTGACTCTTTCTTATACTCTAAAGCCCTCTGTACGCTCAGTCCTCATGGCAGAAGTAACTTCTTCCACATTTGTGCCTCCACGATGCTTTGAGCACAGCAGCACTGCAGTACCCGGGTGTGTAGGAGCTCTCTCCTCACTAGAGTGTGTGAACTTTGCAAGAGTAGAAACCATGTCATTTTCTCCTTTGCAAGCCTCGGGTCTTACTAAGGAGTAGGTAAACAAATGAGTATCTACTGAATAAATGAATGAATGAATGCTATTGAATAGTTACAGATATTTGAAACATCATTTTCTTTTTTGTTGTTTGTGTTTTTGAGATGGAGTTTTGCTCTTGTTGCCCAGGCTGGAGTACAGTGGAGCCATCTCGGCTCACCGCAACCTCTGTCGCCCAGGTTCAAGTGATTCTCCTACCTCAGCCTTCTCAGTAGCTGGGACTACAGGCATGTGATAGTAATGACACCATAATCCATGAGGCTGCTCTAGTCAAAAAACAAAATCGTCTATTATGCAACTCCTTCCTTCATCTGTCACATCTAGGACATCAGTAAGTCTAGCTCTGCTTTCAAAACACTTCCCTTTTTTGTTCAGTCATAACAGATGACTTCATTTTTTGGCAGAAGTAACCTCTTCCACATTTGTGCCTCCATGATACTTTTTTGTATTTTTAGTAGAGATGGTGTTTCTCCATGTTGGTCAGGCTGGTCTCGAACTCCCGACGTCAGGTGATCCACCCGCCTCAGCATCTCAAAGTGCTGGCATTACAGGCATGAGCCACTGTGCCTGGCCTGAAACATCATTTTCTAAAGCAACTTTCATCAACAGACAAGAAATAATATACAAATGACCCTTGGCTCTGAAAAAAACCTAAAATTACGACAGCTAAAGCAGGCTTACAGTTAAATATGTCATGTAAAGAGCTATTATCAATGAACAGGACAAGAAGAAGAAGAAACAAAGGATCTTTCAATTTTTTCTCCCCAAAAATAGGATGTCAAGGACTTTTCGATGAAAGGATTTAGCTTGTTTCTTTGTAAAGAAACAATCATTATAGTGAACTGGAAACTAAGAGAATGGGAAAAAATTTTTGCAAGCTACCCATCTGACAAAAGGTTAATATCCAGAATCTACAAAGAACTAAAACAAGTTTACAAGAAAAAAACAACTCCATCAAAAAGTGGGCAAAGGATATGAACAGACACTTTTCAAAAGAAGACATTTATGTGGCCAACAAACATACGAAAAATGCTCATCATCACTGGTCATTAGAGAAATGCAAATCAAAACCACATTGAGATACCCTCTCATGCCAGTAGAATTGAGATCATTAAAAAATCTGGAGACAGATGCTGGAGAGGATGTGGAGAAATAGGAACACTCTTACACTGTTGGTGGGAGTGTAAATTAGTTCGACCATTGTGGAAGACAATGTGGCAATTCCTCAAGGATCTAGAAATATAAATTCCATTTGACCCAGCAATCCCATTACTGGGTATATACAAGGGTTCATTTGGAATTCACCAAATTGGTGAGTGGAGGCACGCACATAACCTGTGCCCTAGGGGGCTGTTAGCAACAGTTCTCCTAATCTGGCTCAACTGTACCCAATCTGTTCTCAGAGAACAGCTTCCTTCTTTCTGCCTTTCTGGTCACTTGGACATGTGAGAAATGAGAAGCTTGCATACATAGTGTATGAACGTATTTCCCATATTTAGCAAATGCTCTTCCAAGTCTGATGTCAAAAAACGATTCACTGCATGTGGAGTGTTTAAATTCTTCTGCTGTCTTTATTATCATACAGTAGCTTGTCTAATATTATTTGAGGCTGATGAGGACTTTCCATTAGCCCCAAAGGGCCTTTAGTCTTGAGCTGCCTACAGAGATAGTAAAAAGAGCTCAACATAATTCTTCAGCTGCAGAATAGAAGACAGTGACTCATCGGTACCTTAGCAGAGAGCTTTTGCTGTTTCCAAAATATTTTTGAGTGCCTGGTGGTGTAGCTTTTGTTTAAATAAGTGGATTTGTGTATAACTCTTTTTCATGGATGTTCACAGCCTCAGGAGAACCCAGATGCCAGATAATAAAGCTGTGCTTCCTAACATTTTTAATAGTTGTTACACGTGAAGATCTCAACATTTTTCCAAAGCCTAAGCTGCTCCTCATCTCCTTCTGACAAATGGGTGCATTTGCTGGTGGAAGAGTGGGGTTGAAAAAAAAAACCCACCATGCTTAATTAGATTAAAAGAGAAAAGTGAATACCATATGAAAATGAATAAAACTGAAAAAATAATGGTGAAAAGAGTAATAAATGAGATGAAATCAGAAGAAAGGAAGCAGGGATTGATTGCTCTTACTAATCTCAATTCCTCCAGCCTGGCTCCACCCGCCTCCACAGTCTGCTTCATGGCAACCGGCCAGCTCTGTGCGTTGCTTCTGACTCTTAATGGCCTCTTTGGGCCATTTTCCATTACTTATTTGCTTACTGCCTACACTTTGCTGATGTGGAGCTGTGAGGCTTAGTATAATAGTTTTCTATTGCTGCCATAAGAAATTACCCCAAATTTAGGGGTTTAAGCAACATGAATTTATTATCTTACCGTTCTGTAGGTAAGAAGTCTTCACGTGGGTCTCACTGCCTCAAAGTCATGATGTCAGCGGTTCCTTTCTGGAGACATCCGGGAAGGCTTAATACCTTTGCTCATTCTGGTTGTTGGCAGAATTTAGTTCCTTGCAGTTGTAGGACTGACAGCCATATTTTATTGTCAGCTCAAAGGCATTCCCAGCTTGGAGAGGCTGCCTGCATTCCTTAGCTCCTGGGCTCTTTCCTCCATCTTTAAAGCCAGTGACCTTGGGTTAAGTCATTCCAATGTTGAATCTTTCTTAGCCTTCTTCCATTGTCACGTCTCTCTCTGACCACAGCTGGGAAAGTTCTCTTCTTTTAAGGAATCATGTAATTAGATAGGGCTTCCACGGACAATCCAGGATAATATCCCCATTTTAAGATGTAACCTTAATCACATCTGCAAAGCCCCTTGCCTACATAAGGTAAGGTATTCTCAGATTCTGAGGATCAGGGAGTGGACATCTTTAAGAGGCCATTCTTCTGCCACTCTCGGAGTAGGGGTGCTGAGCAATTTGATTTCTGAATCATTGCTCCTGGGAAGCTTAGAGGAAGTGGGAGATTGGGGGAATCGGCAGAATGTGAGGGCTATTTTCTAATTATGTAAATGACATTATAGCTGTGTCTTGTTTTCACTGAGAACTCCCATTTAGGAGGGCTAAGTAAGAATTGAAAGATTCCCAGGTGATACACTTTTACCAAGAGTCTCTTCAAAACCAATGCTCACCATTTCTTTAAAATTAACATAAAGGAAAATGCAGCTAGAAAATGAATGGGGCATTAATCAGAGAATTTTAGAAGGGACCTAGAGATCATCTTAATTTACCAAAAAATTTTGTTATACTTTTTAACATGTAGATTTACATGCAGTTTAAAGAATATCCATACCCAGTTTTCCCCAGTGGTTAACTATAATATCAAAACCAGGCAGTTGGTATAGATATAATCCCTCTATCTTAATCAGATTTGTTTTATATGCACTCATTTGGGTGTGTGTATATACAGTTCTGTGCAATTTTATCACATGCAGATTTGTGTGACTACCACCAGTCAAGATCAGTTTAGTAATTTTTAAAGTGGGCTCTTTGAGCTGTAAGAGTTCTGTCTCGGTGCTTCAAGGAATGCTATAGTGGAGAGGGGTTAAGAAGGGCTGAGCCAAATAAGTGGAATTCAGGGACTTGACTTTCCTTTTAAAACAAAAGGCTGCTTTTATTTATTTTATGTACTGAGACTACATATACTATTTTATTTGATGAAGCATCCCATAGCTAAAAACCGTTGTCTCAGTCCATTGCTTTAATTTTGCAGGTGAAGAAACTCTGCATATGTTCTTCTGTGCTCCAGCATACGCACTGATTACTTCTCAATTGGCTTATTACCAGCATTTGCCCACAAGTTAGCCAATGATCAACATAAAACACAAAAAAACCCTCCTCCTGGCTGAGCGAGGTGGCTCATGCCTGTAATCCCAGCACTTTGGGAAGCTGAGATGGATGGATCACCTAAGGTAAGGAGTTGAAGACCAGCCTGGCCAACACAGTGAAACCCTCGCTACTAAAAACACAAAAATTAGCTGGGCGTGGTGGCGTGAGCCTGTAGTCCCAGCTACTCGGAGGCTGAGGCAGAAGAATTGCTTGAACCTGGGAGGTGGAGGCTGCAGTGAGCCAAGATCACGCCACTGTACTCGAGCCTGGCAACAGATCGAGACGCCTTAAAAAAAAAAAAAAAAAAAAAAAAAAAACCAAAACAACAATAAAAAACAAACCTCCTCCCTTCCCTCAAAGGCAAACCTTAAATTTAGCAACAATAATAATTGAGGATATTTTTCCAACTTAATTAAGTCTTCAGTTTATCTTAAATTGTCAGATTAAGAACTTTATTTGGTTCACTGGCTGGCACATAGTAGATAATCAGTGCCTCAGGGAAATATTTGACTTTAGTTGACAATCATTAGAGTTCAGACAATTAATGAATATGTATATATACGTATCTTCATCATATAAATGGCTAGAACCTTCAATGGTTAGAGGGAGATGATTATAAAAAGTGGCTCCTGTTTTTCTGCATTAGCTTAGAATTAACAGTAATACATGGAATATAATGTACAATGCAATCTTCACTGATTTTACAGCAACTGGAGATGAGTGTTCAGTTCTGTGGAAGACTTTCAGAGAAATATTCACAACTGGAGTGTTTGGGAGAAGAACTAGGGTCTGACTGGATGTCACAGGAGAACTGGAGAATAGGAATTGGAGAATTGGACATATTTTGCAGGCAGAGAAGATTTGGAGGAAACAGGATACCTTTTTTCAAATGTCTAGAAAGTACATCTGTGATAGAATTGCTGTGTATCTGTAGATCAGTATCAATGAACGAAGGTACAATTTCCACTCAATATATGGAAAGTCTTTTAGAGGTGTCCCAAAATGAAATGGAAGACTTTAGTGAGCTTCCTGCTACTGAAATCATTCAAGCAGAGGGTTATGAAGGATGGTGTTCTGAAGAATGTATGCACTGGGTTAAGCTGGACCTTATATGTACGTATAAGGAACTAATACGTACTACTAATAGTTTAAATCTAGTTCCGCCTTCCTGTGCATGAAAATAAATCACCTGATAATCTATTTGCTTATATGGGTAGGATTTCTTATTGGGAAATTGATACAAACACAATACTTAAATGCATTTGTTTTCAACAGATATTTTTTGAGCCTCTAATATGTGTCTAATAGTGTAATGTGCTGGAGATATAACAATGAACAGATAGGTTTTATCTGTTGTTGACAAAATAAGTATGAGAAAAAGGAATATAATGTAGGATGGTGTGTGTTTATTTCTACGTGGCAGATTACTGTGTCTCCTACATTATTAGGTGAAAAACTTTTTTTTTTTTTTTTTTTTTGGGACGGAGTTTCGCTCTTGTTACCCAGGCTGGAGTGCAGATCTTTGGCTCACCGCAACCTCTGCCTCCTGGGTTCAGGCAATTCTCCTGCCTCAGCCTCCTGAGTAGCTGGGATTACAGGCACGCGCCACCATGCCCAGCTAATTTTTTGTATTTTTAGTAGGGACGGGGTTTCACTGTGTTGACCAGGATGGTCTCGATCTCTTGACCTCGTGATCCACCCGCCTCGGCCTCCCAAAGTGCTGGGATTACAGGCTTGAGCTACCGCGCCCGGCTATTATGTGAAAAACTGAATATAAAGTATGAAAACATTTAAAAAGGCAGTGAAATAATATTAAATAGACCATTTAAAGAGTCTGGAAGATGACAAAGAAAATTATAATTAATCAGATACTAATGACAGAAAAAAGAACAAATTATTTAATTTTATTAAAAATTTCCAATTTATAACCAAAATATACAACCACTACATTTAAAATCAGTTTGTACACTCACAGTTAAAGTGCTAAGAAAAAACATTTACAAAAACTGACATCAGTCTACTGTAAACAAAATAAATCTACAAGAGCAGAGTGCAAAGCACCTCAGCTAATGTGAAATTCCCAGTTCATGCTCTAACCAAGTGCACTTGCCCTGTACATCCCAACAACAGCAACTTTTTCACTCATTTGGAAATGAACAATTTTAATGAGCATATAAAAAACATGAAAAACGAATGCCACAAAATACAAGTCTTTAGCATAAACACTTTCTAAATAGATGTTTAGATGATAAATCAAGATTAGAAGTTTAGAATCACCTCAGTAATTTGACTCAGAATAAAGTTTGGAAAACTAAACTGCTAAGTGCCAGCTATTTAAAAATGATAATTTTTTTTTAGAATAATGAAAAAGAATACCTTTTCTACCTTTATAGCTCTTGAAAAATTGTAACAGTAAAATGGGGAAAGAATTGTTTTTTAACAAGCATGGATAGTATTCATCTGTAAATTTAATATCAATGAGCAGAGCTGGAAGACAGACCTAGCTGTAGGTCATGTAGAATGACGGTGAAGGAGATCTAGGATGCTCCAGGCACTGCCCTTTAACTTAAAAACAGGATCAGCAGGCCCTGACTTCTTAAGGCCCATAAATACAAATGACTAGCTCCCTTTTTCAAGGTCACTGAAAATATACAGCAGTTTCAGACATTACATGGGTTTGAGCAAGGGGGAAGATTTCCAAGCTAGGTCACTTAATGGTTTCTCTTGCCTCAAAATAGTCCCATCAACACTAATTTAAATTATTTCCACTTTTGTTTTAAAGCTGTTCTACTCATTGAGATTAATTTGTGCTAACAGCAACATTTGCTTTTAAAGCAGATTTCTCTTTAAGAGAGATAAAAGGGCTGCAGTCACTAACACTTTAACATAAATTAGTTAAAGCCAATTTCTTTATTTCTAAAAAGAAGTATTAATAAGGATGACTGGGAGATACAGGCAGGTAGGGAAGTTTTGGAGAATGTAGCATTTGAGGAATAGGTCACATGAAGAGGGTAACATGAGCATATTACCTAGGAAGAAGGGTACCAAGCAATTACTGAGAGCTCAAAGTAACCTTTCTCCACTATCAAAATTTATCCAAAACCAAGACACCTAGAGTACTTCTATGGTGTTCCTCATTAGCTTTTGTTGGCTACTCTTTACCCTTATTATTCATAATTTTATATGATGAGATGTAGTCTGAATTTGGAACAACCCAATTTACAACCTATTGAATCATAAAATTGGGGATTTTCCTGTGTAGGAGTTTTGTATTTTTTATGTGATCTTCCACTCATATGTTTTTATTCTTATCACCGGAAATAAAGGTCTAAAGAAAATCTTTAAATGGCATTTTATGGCAAATTTGTTTACTATACAACATAGTAGTATTCATTTATTCAGAATGCCTACCAAGAGGATAAAATTCTAGTTGCCAAAATTTGAGTCCATATTAGATATGAGAGAAAATTACTTTGTCTCAAAATGACACTTACAGATGAATCCCTTTATATTAGCTTGGTGCAAAAGTAGCTGCGGTTTTTGCCATTTAAAAAATGTCTTTAAATTTCATTTTTTAATGGCAAAAACTGCAGTTACTTTTGCATCAACCTGATATAAACAATATCTCAGATTATAAAAGCTTTAAACTGCATACAGATTTACTGAAAGTCTTATGTAACAAATATACTCCCAAAAGGCATTTGCTTCAATTATGACATCATTTTCAGAAAACATGTTTCAAAACTGGGAAATCTAACAACAAAATAAAGGATAACTGTTTTAAAGAAGAATTTTCGTGATAAGACTTGTGGTTATCTGTAGAGTCTCCTTCATAAAGGCTCTGGTATGTTGATAAGGTTTATGATGAGAAGTCAATATATCTATTCTAAAAGATCTTTTGTTTGATTCCTTCTTGAATATATATTATGAAATTGCTAGTATCTGTTCATTTTTGACCAATAAAACCAGCAATTTAATGTAGTTCAAAATAATGCTGTATTATCGAACTGACTGTGTAGCAAAAACCTCCTTGGTCTGACTCTGAGAACAGCGGATCTACAGTAGAGTTTTTCTGCTGAGATGTGACCATGATAATCTAACAACACCGAAAAAAGTTAAGAAAACAAAATGAAACAAAAAAGGCTCAAAAAACAGTTCACATTAAATAAATATGAGTCTTGGGTATCACAAATTACGAGTGAAATAACTAATTATTATTAATTATAGATATATTACATAAATAATCCCAAATTCACTGTCAGATTAAAATACAGAAAAGTTTTTTTTTTTTTTGGTAAAACATTTTAATTTTGAAGAAACAGCTTCCACTGTTCTATTAAATACAGATAAAATAATTTAATAGTTTTTGAGTTGTCAAACTTTTCTTTTTGGGGCTAGAGGAAGGGGATGGTGTGTGGTATCAATAACAATCTTAATTATGCCAAAGTAAATGTCTAAACTAGTCATTTCTTCATATATGTGATACCTTTACACTTCAATGAGAAAATAGTACACAAAAATAAAATTGGCATTTGAAAATAAAAGCAGAAAAGTTGTGGGAAGCTGGGTTTAAAGATGTGAAATGGGATGATTCTAGGGAAGTTAAATATTATAAAAGATGAATGATACAAAATTCGGATTTAGTCTAACTCACAGCTAAGACAGAAATAGCACCTGATGGCAAGAAAACGACATCCAGACTAATATTTTCACATTGGGGAGTCCTATATATGATTTTAAAATATTAAGTTAATATAGAAAGAAAATAGAGTATTTTTAAGTATACATTCACCTCAGCTCAATGTAAAGAACTACTGTGTTGATCTTATCTTAGAAATATAGAATTATTTCCTATTAAATGTTTCTGCTGACAAGATGAGTTCAGGAAAAAAGGAAGATATTTGTAAATTTCCTTTTAAAAATGGAGAATGGGAGGAGTAGAGAAATAGAAAAATGGTGGATGTCTAAACATAAAGTAAATCACTCCAGGATTGTTGCTTTATCTTACAGAATATCCGATTATCAAAATCCAGAAAATACTAAATGTAATATTTGAACCTCAGATTCAATTTAACAAATGTGATCACAAAGACTTCCAGAGCCAGAGAACTGAAAACAGATCTTTTTTTTTTTTTTTTTTGTAGGCAATCAAAATAACATAATAATATAGGCATCTCTGAATGAGAAAGGCTGGGCATCTAATTTAATTTCTGAAAGCTAGGAGAATTACATGATCCATGAAATGACATAAGACAAGGAATCAAGTGCAGTTAATGAAATCACACCAGAAACCAGTACACCTTCCTATATCAACTTTCCACTATTCTCTTCTTGTCAGATCCTAACCCAACACTTGGATTGTAAATCTATAGACCAGTGTTCAAAAGATTGATATGAGCTAACGTAGACAATCAGAGCAAAGACAATGATCTTTTAAAGTAACAGGAACATCCTTGGCCTAGTCCACAGAGAACACTACCAGAGAACACTGCTGAGAGATGGAATGAATGCAATCTCTACCTTTTTTTTTTTTTTTTTTTAAAGATATAGTTTCACTTTTGTTGCCCAGGCAGCTGAAGTGCAATGACGCGATCTTGGTTCACTGCAACCCCCACGCCCGGGTTCAAATGATTCTCCTGCCTCAGCCTCCCGAGTACCTGAGATTACAGTCACATGCCACTATGCCCAGCTAATTTCTGTATTTTTGGTAGAGATAGGGTTTTGCCATGTTGACCGGGCTGGTCCTGAACTCCTGACCTCAGGTGATCCGCCCACCTCAGCCTCCCAAAATGCTAGGATTACAGGAGTGAACCACTGCGCCCGGCCTCTGTCTCTACATTTTATCAGATGACAGACAATTAACCTTTCTGGAAACATTTTCTGTATAGCCAGAAAAAGAATTTAAAATAACAAGCCACACTGATCTCTAATAATATTTCAAATGAAGACATTCACCTGCCCATAGCAATCTGGTAACTATATTTATGTAATAAATCTTATAATTCAGCTTAAGAATAATTACTGAACAAAAAATTTTCAATCAATTCCTCTGAAATATCTTTTGCATTTTAAAATTATTTTAATATTGCTAAATCTGATAGCTTTTAAATTAGCCATATGAACCAGTGTTATCATTGCTTTGTTCACTAATTTCATCTTGGATACATTTTGTTTAAAGTTTAAGCGAACTAGCTATATTCATATTTAAAAGAACAAAGATCACAAAATTTTATGTCATTGTTTTCTAGATACCAATTTAAGGTGCTTATATTGGTGCTTAAGAAGACTTTCCCATTTAAAAAATAATCCATGTCCAGTATTTATATCTTTCTTTCATTTTTATTATCTGTAATATAAGTTTCCTTCTTTAAAATTACTTAAAATCACTAATGGAAAACCAGTTAATAACATCTGAATCCCATCAATTTACATGTAAATGGCACTAATAATACAAGCTGATCTAGTTCATAGGATGAATAACAAGAACAGGAATGAGACCAAAATAATGATTATAAAATGGTCAAAGGAGAACAAAATAAGAACTGGGTGGAATTTAAGATTCTACCTAAACAAATTCTTTTTCCCTAGACAATGAGAAAATGGAGGCACCATGAGGTAAAATGTCTAGTCCAAAGTTACACAGCTAAGGGCAAAGAGAGGCAAGGCCAGAAATCAGGTTTCCTGACTCAAAATCCTATGGTATTTAAAAAAATAACATAATACATTTTTACTAATCATTAAAAAAATCTGCCCAATTTAGAAAATAGAATTTTTTTTTTTGTTTAATTTTAGACTCTGGGATAGAAAATAGAAATTATTAAGCTCTAAGTTTAAAAAAAAAAAAGGTAATTAGCAAAATAATAAAGCAGTAAATCTTAAAAATCTGAATTATTTCAAGGTAAAAAACTTGTTTAATCTGTCGGGAAAAACTGTTGACAGTGACCAATAAATAAAATGAACATAAAGTATAAGCAATGCTTTCACACCAACAAAAATATTCAAAAAAGAATATAGCAGATTTCCTGAGGCAGATGATGATTAAAAAAGTAATCTGAAGGAAATTATCCTTCAATGCATTTCAACAGATTGCAACTACTGTGTCTTATAGGAAGTACGTAATGTACTGGTTTGCTGTTTGACTAAAACATAAGTGAAAACTTTTATATTTATGGCAACAAAATTTTACTTTCTAATTAGAGATCACAGAATAAGAAATACATTTAATTCATATTAAATCTTTATAGATTAAATCTTTATAAATCAACTGAATAGAACTGTCTACAAGGATGGCTGGTTCAGGGTAGACTTTAAACATTTTCATTCTTAAAAGACTTGGATCCTGAGAGAAAATTATAATCCTCTATCAATTTGATGACTAAAGAAGCACAGGATTAAAATTAAATTAGAAAGAAACCCAGGAGACTGATTACAGTCAGATGGAAGGCATGGGATGCCTAGTCTTCCTATTCCTTCCCCAAACTCATCTAACTGGGACAAAAGAACAGGAGAAGAGAATTAGATTATGAAGAGATGCCAACACAATTGTTTTCCTGTAAAATAGGTCAAAATTATAAAAGAATAATGTATAAGATTATACAGCTAACAGGAAATACAGCTGAATTAAATGTAAACAATTTTTCTTAATCACTTGTAAAAAGACATAAAAACACTTAAAAGAATTTGTAAATCTAGGTTCCATAAAAATGCTATTCCTTTGTGAGTGAAGAATGGAGAAAAAAATCTTTACAGTTTAAAAAATTATAAATGTGTACAAACAATTCTCATAGTACGATGTCTTAAAATTTAAAGTTTTGCAATGATGAAAACCAACAAGTGAATCACTGTTTCAAAACTTGTTCTCAATCAGAAAGAATTAGGTACATAAAAGCCAAAAAGTCAAAGACAAACATTATAGGATCTACATTCTTCTTTATATTTTTCTTATAATTTAAGTCAAGCTAATGTACTTAAACAGTTTGATATAAAAGGAAAAAAATAATGAATATCCCCAAATTTGGTCTACAAATTCAACTACATAAAATTTGAGAGCATACTCTGGTATAACACATATTAAAGAGCCAACACAATTTAAGAGCATAAACTACCTTTTAAAAGTTAATTGGATCACTGATTTAAAGACTATACCAAATGAATACTGGTCTAATTGCCTATCTTGTTGTTATTGCTAAAAAGACATACTAGTAAAGACTATATCCTTGGTTTCTACAGCCTCCCAAATTCTAACAAAATCAAATGATATCAGTAGAACAATTTATGGATCAGGTATGATGGCATGTTTGTAATCCCAATGCTTTAGGAAGCCAGGAGTTCCAGACCAGCCTGGTGAACAAAGTGAGACCCATCTCTACAAAAAATTTAAAAAATTAAAATTAAGCTGGGTGCAGTGGCTCATGCCTGTAATTCTAGTACTTTGGGAGGCCAAGGCAGGCGGATCACTTGAGGTCAGGAGTTCGAGACCAACATGGCAAAACTCTGTCTCTACTAAAAATACAAAAATTAGCCAGGCGTGGTGGCACGCACCTGTAGTCCCAGTTACTTGGGAGGCTGAGGCAAGAGAATCACTTGAATCCGGGAGGTGGAAGCTGCAGTAAGCTGAGATTGTGCCACTGCACTCCAGCCTGGGCAACAAAGCCAGACTCCATCTCAAAAAAAGAAAAAAAATTACAATTAGCCAGGTGTAATGGTGCATGCCTATAGTCCTAGCTACTTGGGAGGCTGAAGCTGCAGGACTGCTTGAGCCCAGGAGTTCAAGGTATGACTGTGCCACTGCTCTCCAGCTCGAGTGACAGAGCAAGACCCTGTCTCTAAAAAAATGTTTTCAAGTAGAATAATTTATGGGTTACAGAGCATTATAATAAACGTTATTTCACTTGATCCTTATAGTATCCAGTGAGGGAGGCTAAAACCAAAAATTACCTTATCCTCATTTTACATTGAAGAAACAAAGATTCAGAGAAATTAAATGACCAGTCCAGTTGACATCATGATTATGAGTCTTTTTTTTTTTTTTTTCAGGCCCATCCTAGCTAAAATTATGAGTCTTAAAATTCCAAGCTCAGGGGAATTTTCATTATACTAGACTATGTAAGTCATCCAAACATAGTAATATGTAAATGTACCTTTGGCATGTCAAAAAGCAATATAAATATCATCATAATGAAATTTTGGTAGGTTAATGTTTTCTAAGCTCTGGCAAACGACTCACTAATTTATATAACAAAAAAATTAAGTTGTTCCTTTTATTTCACAGAAATATAACCTAAACTAAGATGGGTACAATTTGAGTTATTTCCAGCTGTTATCACAAAGAAACTGATGAGGTAGGTTAAAATGCAGTAAATTTTTCTAATTTGAAGACATTCTCAGAATTTTTATAAATCTGCTCTAACAGCAGCAGAAAAAGGAAGGTTGGTTTGAAGAGTTATTTACCCAACTGGTCCACAAAGATCTAACAGCATAAGACTAACAGGAGCCTAATTACTTACTTGTAAGAATCACTATTCATCTTCTAAAACCAAAAGGATTGGTACATGTTTGTACAGAAAGTTCTTTAATTAAAATAGTGATATGGACTATCATCTATGCAAAATGTTTTATTTGGTGTCATTTACATATTTATTACCTGCCACATATTATTCTGATAAAGCAGAGACTTCATTTCACATAGATTAAATTTAGATCTTACAAATTTCTTTGATGTGAGACTCACTACTAGGGTAAAAGCAAGTTGTGTAACATGAATTGTTAATTTAAATATTTATTGAAAAGCTGTATATGAAGCCCTGTGCCAGCTGAGTTATTAACCAATTGTTCTTTGAAACAAACTGTTCTGAGTTTAATATTATCTTAGGTCTTTTGTCTAATTATTGAGTAAAACAATGTTGCTGAAAGCAGAGGACTTTTTGAAAACCTTTTGATAATATATTAACATTTTAGAGAGAACCATTATTTTCTCAGTTGTCAACTGAAAAAAGAAAACACTAAACATTATCATATGCCAATCAAAGTTAAACATATGGTAGGAAAACTGTCCAGACTTGTTCAGATTGGTTTAAGCGAGTTGAGACTTGAAACTGCTGCCCAAACTAAATACTGTTGTTTAAAACCATGGATTCACAAGATTACATTATGTAACTTTGCCCCACAGAATTATGTAAATTTTGTGGGGCAAAATTAAGATATTTATTGAAAGTAACTGAAAAGTCAATATAGTATTCCCATACATACCAACAATTAATTTAAAAGGGAAAGTACAAATGAATGTCTAAAAATCTAGAAGCACAAAGTTAAGATTTTCATGGTGATGTTCACTTAACTGTCTATACTTGGCCCACGTGTAGAAGAAAACCAATTAACATCTTGGCAGTTGATAATATAATGCAGATGGCAATGGATGACATCTTCAGGCTTAAACTGGTACCTTCTATTTTAACTTATTTTTGTTTGTGAATGTTTGTTTTGGTTCTCTCATGCTGTTTGCAGGACAGAGTCTCAGACAAAAGCATCATGAACTATTGATAAATGAGTTGCTTTATGTTTGGCTTTCAGAGAAAATGTTTACTAATTGTCAGTTATGAGGGAATTCAGACCTGCCTGCCTTGGGTGTTAACTCCAGTTCCAAGGAGAAAGGCAATGAACACAGAGAAAACCAAAAAACATTTCGGGCCATAATATTCAAATATGTCTCATGAAAAATAATTCATATCATATATGTACTTTGAAATATATAACATAACAAGACAAATTATTACTATCAGAAAACTGACTTTGCTGCCTGAAAAGATTCTTTTTCAACACCTAATTTCTTGGTAGTTTCTGTTTTAAAGAGTGAGAAAGAAATGCACACATAAATTCAACATGTCAAGGAGTGTACTACAGCAGTCCTCAAACCCCTTAAATCCACAATAACCTAATCCCTTATCATTCATGCTTTACAGTTTTCAAAGAGCTTTCACATAATTTTTTTCACTTGATCTTATTTGACAACATTGTGAGGTAGGTAGAGTAAGTATTTTTTATCTTCATTTACAAACAAGGGAACTGAGGCTCAAAGAGTTGAATTGTTAAAGGTCAGAAACAATTATAGCGTAAGGCAGAGCCAGGCCTCTTCAGAGTCTAGAATAATTCTTCAAAGTATGATTCTTGAATTACCTGCATAAGAATCGCCTGTGGTGTTTTTATAACTAAAGATTTTAAAGTCCTATCACTTTGGCCTTACAGAATAAGTCTCTCTAGGAGTGGAGCCCAGAATTTTGCATTTTATAATGAATAATAAGTGGAGAATAATTAAAGATTAGATAATGATATAAAATCGAAAGACTGAATCCATGTGGACGGATGTTCATATGATATAATATGATGCCATTAGATCATCAGGGGCAAGTTAGTTTAAAGTAGTGAGTTTCAAGCCAGACTGCAGATTAGAATCACATGGAAAGATTTTTTTCCTTTTTAAGAAAGCAACCAGTTCTTATTTGTATGAGAGGAAGTTGTTAGGTATCTGAAGTAACCCAAGTGATTCTTATCTGCAGTCAGGGTTGAGGGCCCTTGTTTAAATACCGTATGCTTTTTACATAACACATCCAGCATGTTCCAGCATTTTTCTTTTTCTTCGGATTGATTTCACGCCTAATAAAGTTTACAGTTTATATTGTAAATTATTTAAACATTACCAGATAAACATTTTTTACTTGATTTTTTAAGATTAAATGATATTCATAGTAAGACTACTAATCATGCTTCGTTTAGCTACAATGATTTTCAAATACTCAAATCAATCACCACTTTGGACTGAGGTTATATATATTTCAGTTGTAAACAAGAATGATCCAGAATCTGAAAATAAGAGTGTGGGGAAAAAGCTGTAGCCTACTAGCTATAGGGCAAGGCAAGAGCAGACAATCAACTCACTATAGGAGGGCCTGGATGCCAAGGTCTGGTGCTTTGGCAAGATCACATCTCACTGTAGAAAAATACAACGATGAATACAGAGAAAATACTTTGCCATTTTATAATTGTGGTTACCACAAAGAGCCTTATAATGTGTGATGTTTATCTTATTACATGCCTCCACAAAGCAGATTTTGAACATTAAGCTTTCTATGAATCAATACTATTACATGGGAAAAGATGGCTACGAATTAAAATTTTTCCATCATGCACATGGATAAGTTATAAAAACACAGCCAGTAAAAGTAATATTTACAAAAGTTATAAAAACAGCACAATTATAGGGGAAAGAATGCCCATCTCTTTATTCTACTACTAATCCAAATCCTGAATATCTCTGGATGAAGATTATTTCAATAGGATTTTGGGAGAATCTTTCACAGACTAATCAGATTCTTCTGTTGCACTTTTATTCTATTAGCTAAAATACCCTTGCTGATTTATTAAATTCTCCTTACAGTTTAAAAACAGTTCTTTGTTCACTTAGTGGAAATAAAACTACAAAGTCCTACTATTCATCTGAGAAGTAAACCTTGCATAGAAAATTTCTTTAATTCTGAAACTGTTTTATTAACTGAGCTACCAGAATGTTATCTCACCACTAGTTCATAGTATATGAAAGTTCACTACAAAGCAGTCACCACACATTTAGGATTTTTCTAAATATAAAATGAGTGGGTTTATAAAAATGCTTACCAGACAAATAATTATCTCTTCTTAACCTAGAAAGACTAATTATTATCGTGATGATTTAATTCTTAGTGTTTTGGATGTCTTGATGTTCCAAGTTTGATGCAATATAAAAAGCAAACATCTACCTTTCCAGTGGACACAATCTGCACTTGACTGAAAGCATGTGAACAGCAAGTTACAGCAATCAGTCATGCAAAGGCAAAGAATAAAATCTGCTTTTTAAACAGCACAAGTTTTCCACCTTAGACAAGACAAATTAAGCACTGGTTCCATCTTCTTCAATAACCCGATTCATGCTGGTGCCATGTGTGATGTGAGTCATGGGATTATTACTGAGATCTCTGATGCTGCTATGTCGTGACTGTTCATTGAGCCGATGAGAACTGCTATGCCTGGAGTGATCCGTCAGTCGTGACATGCTGCCATGAGGTAGTCTCTCCTCCATTCCTCTATAACTGCAGGGCGTGTACCTGTTATGAGAGAGTTTATTTTGAAGTGGGTAACAGAACACACTAGAAAATGTAATAAAACTAATAATTTTCATAAAGATGCCTCAGTACAGGAAATTATTAGGAAACCAACCATGAGAAAGTAATAAACAACTTTTGATTGCTTAACTTCATTAACACTGTGGAATTACTGACATAGCCAACAAAAGAAAAGAGATAATCCACTCAGAATTTAGGTTCCATTCCCTGCAAAAGGACAGAAGCTGAGGTTAAACAAGGCTGATTTGAAGCTTCGCTAGATATGGATGCCTTCAAATGAGTTTTGAACAGGGTGGGTTCAGGGAGAGGGGTAAGAACAAATAGAAGAAATGTGGCATTGCCCCTGGCAGCCAAGAGTGGTTATACTCAGTAGAGGGGTACACTCAAATTTTATTAAAAGACTATGATTGGAAGAGGGAGCATATGAAA